AGGACTTACTCATATTGAATACATCAGTGGTTCCCCCAATGGGCCTTATGGGGTGTCACAAGGCCTTCTTGATTTTAAGGCATGTAAGAAAAATTATGTGTGTGTATGTCTCAGCAATTGGTTCCCTTCTGTGAAGAAGAAAGAAAGAGGGAGAAGAAAACACTGAATTTGTCAAGAAAAAGAAGCTCATTAAGTCTGTGTGATTGTTAGAAATGATTTTAAAAAATACACAATACAGAAAGAGATATGTATAAAACAATCCATAAACAGGAACATTATATTTTGTTGCCTGACATTGTTCGCATACCTGTCTCATCATCAGCACACTTTAAAAAAAAACGTTGAGAAAACTAATTTTTAATTAAGTTTTAAATCAAATTTGAACTTTTCAGTCTTGAAATAGATTTAAAAAGCTTTTTTTAATCTTTTGTTGTTGTTGTTTTTTTAAATAATTTACTTTCCTTATACTACCTTACATTTTCTTTTTTGCAGTTATTATAAAACTATTGAGCTGTGAACTAGATTTTCCATTATTTGGGTGCTGAAAATGAAATATTTGCAATTGAGAATATTAAATAATTAATATATATTATCAATTATTAAATTACAGATATAAAGAAGAGAAGTAAATTATCATTATTAGTTTATTTCAAAACTTAAGAGTTTGAATTAAAACTCAAAAATTAGTGAAGACAGTAACAATGTATCAACTTCTGATGTTTGTTCTGCAGCTTCACTCTCAGGCTAGTTTTAAACCAAAATGTTGGTGTGTGCACTATGCAAACACAGTATATCAAAAATACTGGATGTCATACTGATTTAGAAAAAATCTCCAGTATGCATCAGACCAGTCTACTGTGTCCCATAATGCAAAGTGCTGGAACAATCCCAACCAACAGTAAAGCCAAAGTTATTTTTTGCAAATTCCATCAATTTCAACACTAAATTCACATCTGACTGCATTTGAAGTGAGAAATCAACTGTGTAGATTTTGAATAATCGCAGGCGAATCCAAATTATGCTCCAACATTTTTGGAGTTAAGAAGCTCCACCAGCACTTAGTAGCTAGCTAGCCAGCTGGCCAGTGACACTCACAGGCCCCTCTTGCCCCTCCACAGTTACACAGACCACTGCAGCCAACACAGCAGATGACTTCAGCAACAATGGCAGAGGAAAGACAGGCCAACAACTTTTAATTTCATTTTTAATACTTGCACTGCACTCTGTCATTACATTTCTGAGCAGAGAACAAGCTTCAATACACGTTATATTTGCAGTGAAGTAATGCGACAAAATGCCTGTGAATCTGGTTCCTTCCAATCATCAGATAGGCATTACCCGTCTCTCAGGTAAATCTTCATCTTTAGGAAAATCAGATTTGGAATGATACAAAGTACCGGTGGTTTGCTATTAGCTGTGCTATTGTTTAGTTACTCTTTCCAAAACCAGAAACCAGCTGAGCCTGGTCTATCATACTGCAAAATAAATTGATCTTACAGTTTTATACTGCATAGTATGCAGTAGGAGGCTCCGTATACAGCCTTGACTTGGCATCCTGTTTTGTTTACTTCCTGTTAGGGCAGTGAGCCAAAAAAAAGAAACCTGACTGGACTTGGTCAATAGTGGTTCCAAGTCAAGAAACATAAAAGACAGTTCTAAAAGAGCAGAAGAACCATCTCAACATGAGACTGGATAGTGAGACTGGACTCAAAGTACAGTTCTGGTTCAGGGCCCTGACTGTTTTTTTTGTACTTTTTAGTGAAGCGTGGATTGAGATAAAAGCATGAGAATGGCGATGATCTAAATGTCTGGACCAGTTTTGCATCTGGTTCCCCTCCAAACCATCACATAACTATTTAAATGACCCCTGAACAACCCAGATAAGGTCTGGACTCTGTTCTGGTCCACAGAGCACAGCTCTCAACTGCTATTGTCTCACAGCTCATTTAGTAATCAAACATCTGGAATAACAGAGCCTGCTATGATAGCTATGTAAGATTACAGGAAAGACTGTGCAGCTCTCTCAGGGGAGGGGTCAGCTGCTGTGAGGCTCATAGTATCCTGCTGACATACTGCTGAGACTGTCTATTTCAGAAAGTTAAGTGACTCTAGTCTGTGGGTAAGAGGCATTGAACTCTAATAAACATTAACAAGGAGGGAGTTGTTGCCAGAGCCATGTTTGGGTGGCTAGATGAAATATTCCCACTGGCAGGAGTGGACCAAAAACATACTCCTCAATTAAAGGTGCCAGTATGTGAAATAAAACAAAAGCTAAAACAACCATGTTTCTGGGAAAGTATTTTTATTTTTTGTCCAAAAAGAAAAATAATCTTGTTAAGCATGTTTTGGATTAGAAAAGTAATCTGGTTTTAGTAAAATCTATCTAACTATCTAAGATATTACAGCAAATATTGAGCTAGATTGAACCAGGTAAGGTCTAACAATGGTTTGCAAAATATCCCAGCAGAGGAACAAGATTATTTTCCACTCTTATAACTTCTCAGTTTAAGAAAGTCGTCTTATCCCCCGGTTGTAAATAAAGCAACTGTTTTAATAAAATAAAATGTTAAAAATGGTGCCTTCATTTAAGACAAAGTAAACAGTAAACTTTTTTTTGCTAAGTATTCAATAAGGAAAAATTCAATAAGCACAAGTAATAATCACATGTTGCTTACATTTTTGACATCTTTTCTAGTTTTACAGTCTTTCACTAGCTTCCTGTCTTTGACCTTTCAGCTAGTTTTAAGAATTCTAGCAAAGTAAAACTGGAGTAGCCCATTGGCTGATTTTTTTGCTCAATACAAGAAAGGAGAATTTTGCAGTGTCACATGGCATTCAGTTGAGTGTGTTGTAAATGTTACGGAAATGTTTAAAACATCCCAAATGAGTTTGTTTACTATAGTGACTTTTTCAGTGATTTAGAGGTTTAGTCAAACATGTAACACTGAAAGAGTGAAGTGGATGTCTTAAAGGGACTTTCCAGTAGTTAGAGTAATGTGAGTGACTATACCGTGTTAATTCCATCTTTACCCAAAAGGGAGGTCAGGAGGAGTATAATCACTCATCTTTAAGACACAGTCTTGCAGTTCTTATCTTTTTACTGCTGTGTATCTGGAACCAGATATTGCAGTATTGGAGAGGACAGTGTTTTCAGTGTTTCACAGGGACTCTGAAGCCTCATAGGGAGTAGTGAATCATTGAACCTCTCAACTGAACTGAGATCCCTTTAGTCATCTGCAGTCCTTGCGGAGTTAGAGATAACAAACATAACTTTATTTAAACTTGAACAGCATTTTTGTTATCCCACATGATTACGCCCTAACCTTAAGCCTAAATGTATTATTTAATTTCAAAGCATGTCATCCTTAGGCTTATTTTTGCATTATTTGATTGTTGTTTGGGCCAGTGTTTTCTATAAGTGAGGCTCTTATGGGTAAATCTTTAGGTTAGGAACACTGCAGGCAAAATATCGTTTTTTAAGCTTGTGAGATTTTGGATTATCTCACATCCATTATGATAATGGACAGAAAATGCCTAAAACACAAATTCAGGTGTTTATTTATTTTTACTGTTTGCATCTGTACATTTCTCCTAGAGTAGATAATGCCTCATTTGCACAAAACCTAAAATATGACCAAGAAATTGTAATACATAAAAAGAGTTGTCTTATTGTAAGTAATCAACTGGGGTGATTTCATGATAACATCTATTAGTTTAACTTTTTACCTTGTTCACCTGTAGTGTCTTACCAACAGTACATATTTTAAAAGGCCGTTTTCTCACTCTCCTCTTCAGCAGCAGTTACATACACCAAACCTTCCAGTTTTATTCCTATCCATATTCTGAAGCTTTTTACCAAGGGCTTTGGTCATATACCATTTACAGCCTGATTTATATTACATTTTATTCCTAAAAACATTGTGAAAATGTATTTTTATTTAAAATAGAAAATGCCTTATTTGCATATGAAACATAACATTTCAGAAAACATAATATAAAAATATAAAAAAATATTGTCCTAATGTAAGTAATCAACTGGAGATGTTTCATGGTGATGTCTATTAGTAATTTATTTACGCGTGAATAAGATTTTAAATAAATTACTAATAGACATCACTATTAGTTATTTATTTTTACACAAGCCTGAAACATATTCATATTCCTTGTTCAAGCCACACTGTCAGCATTCATTTATTTCAAATAAATAGATTAGTTGGAATCATAGGAGAAGGCAAGCAAGGCTGAAAATGTGCTTCCTTCTTCATTACCAATATTATATCACCACTGCAGCTTGTGACGCTAAAAAAGTTTCCATTTCAGTGGAATTTCTGTTCCTTTATATGTTTAAAGCAGAGTTTATAAGAAGTCAAAACAGCTTATAGTCTGCTGCTGTATGTCAGTGTCTGGGCATGAAAAGAAACCGCAAGATCCCTGAAACAGTCTGTCTTGTGCCATTCTCACTTACATGAAACATTTCCCATCTGGAGCTCCAGTATAATTACTTTTACAGATATATGTACTTTTATAGTGCCGGTGGTCTATAAACAAAAGGACCTTACAACAAATAGAAGTGGTGAATAAAGAGGCAAATTAAGCAGAAGTGAAGTTTATTTGTACAGCTGATATACAAATGGCTCGGTGGGCTTCATTTTTCCATGGCCAACAGATCTTGATCCAGTCTTAACTCTGAAGAACACATGGAAAAAGACAAAAGTGGGTGAAAGTATACAGAAAATGAGACATGCAACCAGAAAATTTGATTCTCTGATGAAATAATAAAAACCTCTGTGAATTTAAAGGAGACACATTATGCCCCTTTTCAGGTTCATAATTGTATTTTGTGGCTCTCCTACAATAGGTTTAGATGTTTTAATGTTCAAAAAACACTTTTTTTCCCTCATACTCCCTATAGCTGAGCAGCTCTTTTCTGTCTGAATCGATTTAGCTCCTGTCTCTTTAAGGCCCCCCTCCCGAGAGCCCAGTCTGCTCTGAGTATGATATCTGATATTAATATTGAAGGCATTTCTACCGTCAATATTAATTCAATAACTGCTTCTAAACCAAAAACTTCACCACCAGACATCTTAGAGCGGGAGTCTGACCTGAAATCACAGAGAAATGAACAACATCAACAATCAGGATTACAGCTTTCTGTGACGTTTTCCTCAGGTAAATACTGCTATAAAAACCTCTATCTATCACATAATGTTAGTGTTTATACCTTAACTATGAGAACCAACACTGTGTTTTATGCTTGTCTTTACACGTACAGCAGTGAGCAGTGACCTACAGTCTACACAGCCCAGTGAAGTGAAACATATTATATGCTTGGAATCATTTATCCTGTACAACATGTCAACATAACTGAAGGAATTACTCATCTAATAAAGTAACTTGTTTATGTGGTTTAAAAACTGCTCAGTAACCAACTGTACTGTACTGTATCCATATTTCATAGTCTGATATTTTAACTTGAAAGTATTATTACCAAAGTTAACCTTCAGATATTTGTAAAAGCTGCAATTATGTTTTACGTTTTATTTGATATATTATGATGTCATTTATCTTCCAACATAATAAAGTTTGAATGTGAGACAGTAATGTATTGTGTTGCTTACAGTCATTAATACAGGTTTAAATTTCACATTTTCATATTGATAGATGTTACACGAACCAGGTTTTCAACTCTTGTACATGCAGGAAATCTTCATAAAACCTCTGTGAAATAACATGTTATTTATATAAAACCACACTTATTACTGAATTTAAAAATGACCAGAACTCTTCTTAAAAGTAAAACACTTTATTTATGTTTCATTCATATTCCAGTTACAGATGTTGCAACTAACAAAGCTATAACTTTTATGTAAACTGTGCAGATCATGTCCTCCATCAAGGTATCTTAGGTTTCTAGTATACTGAAGTGTGATCTAGTAATGGAGCTCTGCAGCCAGTGTTCATCTTCATGAGTCTTCCTTTGGATACCCAGACTGTCCTGATGCTGCAGCTGTCTCTGTCCTCTGATGGGTCCAGGAACACCTGAGCTTCATCAGGTCACCTGTAAGACAAGGCAGATTCAGTGTTACTTGTAAGACCGCACATAATATATAGTATAATATAATATCCCACGGTAGCTCTATCTTTACCTCCGGTAAATTTACATACAGCAGCACACACACACACACACACACACACACACCTGAGCGGAGCTGGAAAATGGCCAGCAGGAGCTAGCTCAAATAGTGGCATCGGAATAACAAAGCTAGCGCTAGCTGAAGTAACGTTAGCACGTACGTAGAGAGTTCAGGACAGGGACTACACAAGAAGCAACATGAAAACAACCACCAGGCTCCAACCTAATGAACGGCTAACTTCGGTTTAACGATCACACTGTCCCTCGTATTACAACATAAAGTCTGACAGACTCAGTAACTATAGTAACACAGTGACATCACAGAGCTGCTGTGTGCTAATCAAAGCTACAATCTTGAATTTGAATTTATACATGGTACAAGTACGGTGTCTCCTGATCACAGCTGTATTGATCCACACGGTGAACAGATACTGAGCTACCCAGCAGATAATAAGTTACCAGGTTAAAGACAATTAAACATATCTGACGTTATCTTCCCTGTTCTATGCAGCTCAACGAGCTAACAGCTGATGAGCGCTACAGTTTGTTAGCTCGGAGGTTTTCTGCTCTAACAGCGACACAAACATATTACTGACTGAGCACGTTTAACAAAATACAGACGAACATAAAGCCAATTTAGCCCGGTCACAAAACCCACAACAGTTAGGGAGTTAGGGAGCCCCCCCCAGCACGAAGCTTGGTGATTCACGGCATAAACTTTGTGTGAATCTCTATAACAATATCAGCAGGGGAGAATATGGAGACATCTGCACCAGCTGGCTTAATAAATTAACTTCACCTTATAAGTTTCATTTTCATCTTTTAACATTTAACAAACAATAACTACGTTAGCATCACTGAGGCTCCTGTAGCTAACAACTATTAGCTGCTGACTGGGCTCGCTTGCTTGTTCTCCGCTAGCTTGCCTTTTATAGTAACAATGGCGGAGCTCCGATAGTCAACAGGAAGTAAACTGCGGTGGGTGGCAACATGGAGGCAAACTGACATCAAAAACTCTGAACATCTGACATTGAGTGATTTATCTCCTATATTCTGACTGAGGCAGCTCACAAAAACATGACTGAGTCATCTTTTTTCACACTTTGCCTGCTGATAGGCCCTCCAGAGTCCCAAATGTACATAATCAAATGATTAAAAAGTTGGTTTTGCATAATATGTCCCCTTTAAGACTCATCAAACAAGCCAGACTTATTACACATCAATAGTATTTCTGGAGGTTTTACTATATTCTGCACCACTTCCAGTGAGCCCTCTGTTATGTGTTAGTTTCCACTCAATAACCAGTTTCTTAGTCACATCCGCTTTGTCATGAGTTCACAGTTGGGCCAAGCTGAAGTGGTTTCACAGCAACTCACAATGTACCCAACATGAATGTTCAATAAAGATAACAAGACAAAGAGACACTAGAGCAAATATGACACACCCACTGTAAATGCTTACAGGTGCTATCGCTGTCTGTATCTGTGCCATCATAGTCAGCCAGCACAGGCAGCACACCTCAGATGTGTCTACATTTACTTTTAGACTTTGATTTGTGCATTGATATGTCCTCATACAAAATGGGGGCAGACAAACCCAAGTCTGTTCTAGGTCTAGGTCAGGTCTAAATCTGGCCAATTGTTTTTAAATAAAAAAAGGAGCATGTGCTCACCCTTGACCTACACACCACAAAGCTGTGAATCATTTAGCCAGATCAAAGTTTAAATATTCAATTCAATTCAATTCAGTTTTATTTGTATAGTGCCAATTCATAACAGAAGTTATCTCAGGACATACTCAGGGCAGAATAGGTCTAGACCGAACACCTTATAACATTATTTACAGAGACCCAACAGCTGATCTTGTTGACGGCGGCAAGGAAAAACTTCCTTGGCAGAAACCTCGGACAGACCCCGGATCTAGGTGGGTGGCCGTTTGCCTCAACCAGTTGGGGTTAGAGAGAGGGGGGGATAAATATATCCTGTCTGTCAATTTGAATATAAGTTCAGAATTAGTGTTGATTTATTTTTGTCTTTGTGATGAGTGAGACATTTACAACTTGAAACAATGATTTGGGAGGTCAGACAGTAATATCACTGATCATCAGTGATTCATTTGCTGTGGATTGCAGCCAGTTCCCATCAGCATGTTGTTCATGTTGTGGCAATGTGACATTGCTACTGGAATACTCCCCACCCTGATGACTGTACTGGCCTCAAATGAGGAGGCAGTCTGAGCATTAGGCAAAGGTATTATTGCTTTATGCCCCATGACCAAACGGCAAAATATATGCACATACAAGAATATATGCCTGTTTTAAATCCATTAAGGGCCATGTTTGTCTTTGTGTAGGCCCACAAACCATTTGTCCACCCAAGCGGCAATCTCTGTGGCTTTATATAACTCACCTGTTTAATTTATATTAAGTCTTAAAGTTCTGCATAATTAGGGCCATGGCCACTTTGAGAGGTTGCCGTCAATAAACTGTATAATTAAAAATGGACGTGACATCACCCATAGGTTTCTGAAGAGCCGGTCTGAAGCTCAGTGTGGCCAGCCCTGGCCGTTGCCTTCTTGGCAGTCTCAGAGTACATTACAGTCAGAAAACCTCTTGGTTTGGGTTAGAAATGACTACTTTGTTAAGGTTAGAGGACCTGTGTCATCATGGATACAATAATGACTATTCTTTTGAGGTTAGGGGATGATCATGGTCATGGTGGCAAGAAACCAATGTTGACTGTTGGTAGGAGATGAGAAATAAACAACAACAATAGTAGGTCTGCTAAGTCTTGGATGCAAGTTGAAATTGTTGAAGTAAATTTACCTTTAGAAGAGGGTTTACTCATAGCTTGTTGTATATTTTAATTTTCACCCCCTTTTCACTTGGCGCCGCCCCCCAATATTAACTGTTTAAATTATAATTTTTTGATTTACTCACTCAGTATGTTGAAGTATGTTCCAGTTAGGTCAGGAAATGGGCTCCACTGTTTCAGTAACATATTATTAACAGTATCCTTCACAGTATCCTTCTTATCTTTTCTTTGGACTGTAATTTGTCTATCTTCATTTTGTCATCATCTGTACCCCTCCAGTGTTGTTGAGTAGCATATTTTATATTTTTTTAAATAAATCGCAGCAGATTTATAAAATGCTACAGGACTCATTATCCCATCATCCCCCAAACTTCTAGCTTTGTTGCTTCTCACTTATTGTCACCCATTTCTACCTGCTGTATGAAGGATTTTTTTCCCCAGATAGTTCCTAGTTCCTAGCTTATTCCTGGTACACTCTTAGTACAAGTAATTACACTATAAATTGGGAAGAATTGCTCTGTACATGATCTAAAGCACTACTGTTTTTCATGTAAATCAGATGATTGCCACAAGGCTTACTTCCTGTTTCCAGGAGAATATTGGCACGTAAATGTGTTCATCAACCATCGCCAATTAGAGAATGCACCCTCAATTTAGGGTTAGGGCAAGGGATAGGGTTAGGGTTAGTGGTTCCTGTTTCATGTCGAAACGTCAGTTTTTGATTGAAATTCAAAATGACTTCTGGGGCCCCAGCCTCAAAGAGCCCTGCATCTTTTTGTGGGAAATATCATCTATTATAGGTCATAACATTGGTAAATTGTAAATGGTAAATGGACCTGTACTTGTATAGCGCCTTTCTAGTCTTCGGACCACTCAAAGCGCTTTTACACTACATGGCACATTCACCCGTTCACACACATTCACTCAGAGATGGCAAAGTCCATCAAACAATTGTAATGGTGTCGTTGTGTTGTGTGTGTTGTGTTTCATTAAATTGTGTCCCCTCAGTGGGAAAGCTAGTTAGGCTACTATTTTATGGATTATGGATGTAATGGAATTCTTCATGAGGAGTCAACCTCAACTGTTTTTGCCTGTTTTCAGGTTGTAGTTCTCAACCTTTGTTGTGTTCTGGTTTAAGAATGATGAATAAGATATAAAATAAGAAGTAGACTCTACAGGAGAATTTTTGAAAAGGAATTATCCTTAACATATTTGAGCATTGTAGTTGGTCAGCAATGTTGTTTGCTGATCTTAGTATTTGCTGCTTGAATCCTCAGTGTTTCTCTTACTTTATGTTAATTCTAATTTACAGTCAGTTTCTTATTTTGATCTTCTTCTAGTTAGAGAAGATTAGACACATACTATCACAGACAGATGCAGAAAAACTAATCCATGCATTTGTTACTTCTAGGCTGGATTACTGCAACTCTTTATTATCAGGTTGCCCCAATAAGTCCATTAAAACGCTCTGATTAATTCAGAACGCTTAAGCACGAGTACTGACAGGAACTAGAAAAAGAGATCACATCTCTCCTGTACTAGCTTCTCTGCACTGGCTCCCTGTAAAATGTAGAATAGAATTTAAAATCCTCCTCCTCACCTACAAAGCTCTTCATGGTCAGGCCCCTTCATATCTTAAAGAGCTCATAGTACCC